TTGAGAATAAACCCAGTTTGGAAGTTCTAGTCTCTGAAAATACACCAGCAAACCTGCCCGAGTGATTCACTCGGGCATTCCTCCGCACAAAAGTATAGGCTCGCGTTGTAACCCTATCCTCTTGGGTTTGGGTTACATTATTGTATCTAGGGTAGGGGCCTACTTGAACTTGATCCTACTAATGTTTTGTCATTTGCTAAGCTTACTTCATACTTGGTTACGATTGGATGATTGGATAAGTAAAAGAATACTATTACTGTACTTACAATGTGCATGACAACATAATGCATGCAATATAAATAGTAAATTGAATCCTAACACTAAACACTAACCTGTGTTTACCATCGACTTCACACCGACACAATGTTGTGAAACGCTCTCTTGTCCAGATGTTAGTGTGCTGCCATCTGATGACTGTAGAAATTCTCGCCTAGTTCGCAGACCGCTGTAGTGTATCACTGTATGTTCTAAGAACTGATATTAGAACAGATAGATGTATATTTGTAATTATCAGTTCACATCCTCCACCAGTACGCTATGTTATATAAGTCCTATGGCATGTACTGCGTTTCTATTGTATACATACCCTACTCTCGTAAATCGTCAGTTTTGTGGAAAGGTACCACGCACGTGGAAATCGGCGTTCAATTGGCATGTGCTGCCATCTGATGAGCAGTCACTGTTTTCGTCTGGTTTGCAATTTGCGGCGTCATTGTAGGATTTCTATAACGAATGTTATTTGTTTACATGATCATTGCCATTGGCACTCATCGTCATATTAGAAGTAAGTCTTATCACAGAAAATGTGTTATATAGAGTCATGATACTAGTCAAGTGAGACTTTTGTCATTTGCAGGACAATGAAGAGGAATGTAATTAACGCTAAAGACCTGTTTAGCACAAATCCAGGGTAAGTTTTCTAGTACAGTATAGATCAGTCATCAGTAATACTAATTGATTATCACTATTAGTATCAGTACCAGTGACAGTGTCATGGATTTAATATGTTGTTACTCACTCAGTACAAATCAAGTTAATGTTGAAATCATACTATTACTGATAGAATAGATGACATCTAACTTCTAAGACTAAGAGTAAGATCATGCTTTGGCCCATATATCCTATTAGTATTACTAATACTATTACTAATAGTAGTAATAATCATTTCTGCCATTTTTATTCATGTGACGGTGACGTTTCTGTGTATTCCTCAGATCATTGCTCCCTCAAAAATTTAGCACGTGCTCATTGGATCAGTATGACTCGGCTTTCAACTCTAGTGAGAATTCACAGACCCAAGATTTTTCTCAGGATTTTGCTTCACAGAGTCTAAGTGGATCTGGCCAATCACAGCAGACTGATGTAAGAATGTGCTCATTATAAATATAATCTACTGCTTAGTTATTACGAGTTTAATTAAAATTATTAATTTCATTCCTAGAACTTTTGTGTATATTAATTATTATGGTAAGTGGCAAAGTGCATAAATTATATAGCATATACCTACAAATTTCTATAATCATGTATTCACATTTGTCATATAACGACATTGAGTTTCGAAGTAAGTAAGAAACACCTTTGGTCTCTAGCCTGCAGCCGAAAAGTTGTGATTCACAACTTTGAAAGCAGATGGGCTAGTAGTGGCACCAGCGTTGTTGTAAGCAATGATACAGCCGTTAGTTTTAAAACATAAAAAAAAACAATTCTAATAAATATTGAACAGTGAAATTTTTATGTAGCGTAATTTAAACTTATTTTAACTAAAAATATGCAAGGAACCTAGGGTCAAGTATATCTCTTTAAATAGCATGGCAAACTCGCCTGCTTTGGGCTCTATAGCTGTTTGGTATTAATTTAAACTGATGCATTAATTTTTGTTCCACAAACTATTGTTATCTTTAGCAGCTCAAATAACATTAACTGTGCATGGTTAGTGTAAGCAAACATTCGAACATTTTTGTGTGTGACTGTATGAAACAACATGGTGATCACTGCATAGTATGATTGTAATTCTTCCTATGGCATATATAATGTGTATTTCATTTACCACAGGATTATCAACGCTATATGTCCATGCCATTACTGTTCTCCAACAACAGTAGAGATAACAACACCAGCAATCAGCAGAATAATGCATCATTGCCTAACAACGCTGGCCCAACACCCACACCCTTATTCCGCCAGCAACTCGAAGCTAACAGGGCAAGAGCAAAGGATAAAGAGTTCAGGTAAATATTTGTAGCAAATATATTTTTATGTACACAATAAGTTTATTAATTACGATTTTTAGTGTAAGCATTTTAAAAGTGTAATCTTATGTAGTATCAAAAACTGCATCACAACATTGTTTAGGAGTGAGTCACCACGTACCAGGTGCATTTTCAGCCTAGTTACTTAGAACGTATAGTTCCAGTTCACTATGTATGCTGTAGCATAGACTGCCATAGAGTGTATAGTATCACTGTGAACAAAGCTATATGCGATATAGAGTAGAGATATGTTCATGTCCTCACTATTTATGGCCTTGTAAGTTGTGTAACGCTTGTGTGCTCTTAAAATTTCTATGAAGAGAGTTATTCCGCGGGCTGACAGCATGTATGCGGGAGTGCACAGCCGAAGTGAAGACACTTGTGGAAAAAATAGGTCATGACGTCAATGCAAATGTGCCGGATGAAACTTTACAAACAAAAGAGCTGTGTGATAAAGGTACGTAATTTGCACGTTAGGTGAGAAGTCTACACTGCAGAGAAACTGTACTTTATTTATCATTACAACTATTCATTATATCATTAGTGCAACTGGTACATTGAAGAGTAAAAGTACATTACATACAATAGATAAATATGCACAATATTTTGATTGACTGATTGCATGAACCTGTGTGCACATATATACTCATTATAATTGTACTCTGTTATGGATTTTGTAGTGCAAAAGACAATAGAAGCGACGACAGATCGAGTTGTTAAGGTTGTTCAGCTCAGTACAGCCGATCACGAACAGTTAAAAGAACGAGATGCCATCATTGCCAACGTACGCATACATATGTGTCACTGATTTAGCTATCTCTCTTACTTTTGACAGTAAAACAACTAGGAATTTCCAGGGTTTTTACAGGGGCTGGAAAATAGGCAGATATAATTTTGGTTTTGAAAAGTCCTTAAGATTGATATGTCTCTCGTATCCGAGAGTACCCTTATTAAATTTGCTTCTTACAAAAGTTTCTTCACTAATCATTTATTAGGCAAAATATAGCTTACAGATTGTATTTGGCTAAAATCTCATGATTCTGAAAGATGCACAATAATGCCTGGAAAATGGTTTTTGTGTTATGTTTGTAAACCCTTGATGGCCTTTGCTCAACCATGTTCTTGTGACTGCCATTAATTGCTCAATGAATATGGGTTATACATATCTACCGAAACCTGTGTAGCAGAATATCTATGTGCACAAGTCTTTGTATACATACAGATGTCTGCTAAGCAGGCTGTATTGATGACCACATCGAGAGTTGATTATCAAAGTGTGAAGCATGATCACATTAATTCAATACTAAAGAGTGAACGTGTAATTATACTTATATATATATTCATATATCAATGTTAGGTGCGATATAAAACCGATATATAAAAACTAGCACTGCGATGTATTCAGCATTGCTCACTCTTACAGAAGGAAACAGAGATTGCAAAGCTGGAGAAAATGCTGGATAAAACACGAGAGGAGGCGCAGGAGAAGGTGATAGCAGTGATGAGGGAGGAGTACGCAGAGCAGCAGAGACTTAACCGGCAACAGATACACGAGCATTTCCTCGCCCAGCAGAAGCAATCCCAGCTCCAGTGGAAGGTGACTTTGTGTGTCCCAGATAAACAGCAATATTACACGCTATGATAGGTCTCTTCCGCTTCTTGTGTCAATACACTAGACTCGTCCTCGCCACTGCAGCACGCATGACCTGTCGCGGTAGTAGTGTAGTGTAGTAGAAGGATTCGCTGTGATGGGAATGTGGTGTGAACGCTCCTTCTGTGGCCCGCTAGGATAGGTAACATAGCATACCAGTGCTTGACTGTTTCGATCCCAAACAAGAAATCCCAGCTCCAGTGGAAGTTAATGTGCGACAGCATAGCTGCTAAACAGAAACACTGCCAGCCATGATAGGTAGCATATGTACCCATATGTGCTCGTTAAGCAGCTAGAAAGCACAGATATAATTCTGTAATGAATTGATGTTCGAATTAGACGTGGTTAATATTTGTCTGTGCTCTGTACACAAAGATGGCATCAGCATGATATTTCACTCGTATGTTCTATGCAGATGCAGCAAGACCAACAGGAGCAGATTGAGTTGCAGGGTAGCCACCAACAACAGCTCGTAGCTGCTCAACTGAAAAGCCAGAAGGAAGTGGAAGCTTACATAAGCAAGACATTGCAGGTAATTGGCCAGTCTACCCAACTTGCTTAGTGCGTGTATGCAGCAATGCCCACATTTTCATCCAGAGATGAATCCAGTGATTTTCTGTTTTACAGGGCAAGGCAATGATCCGAATTTATTTAAGTAAATATAGTACAATCTCCTGATCTACAACTGGGTACAATGGCCGTATTTGTTATGGAAGTTTTGGCTGGTGTTGGCCAAATCTGTCAGTGTTTCTGACTGCAGAACAAGTGTATTAACCGGATATATCATGTCGTGTGCCCTAGATCAAACCACATTTGAAAAACTGCCAGGCCCATTACTTTTTGACCTAATTGTATCCCCCGCGACGAAGTCGGCATGGATACTATGGTTTCATGTCTGTCCAGCTGCCGCCGCCGCCGCTCGGTCCGCCACAGAGAATTTCCCTTCCGCTCTATAACTTGACCCCTAATTGACCTAGCGTGACCAAACTTTGTATACTTACACATCTTGGGGAGAAGGTGTGCAGAGTACCAAAACCAGGTCACTGCGACCTTTATTTGACCTTTACCTTGACCTAGATCATATTTTCCTTCCGCTCTATAACTCGGACTCTAATTGACCTAGCGCTACCAAACTTGGTATACTTACATATCTTGGGGAGAAGGTATGTCGCATACCAAAACCAGGTCACTGCAACCTTTATTTTACCTTGACATTGACCTTGATCATATTTCCCTTCCGCTCTATAACTCGGCCCCTAATTGACCTAGCGCTACCAAAACCAGGTCACTACGATTTTTATTTGGCCTTTACCTTGACCTTGATCATATTTCCCTTCCGCTCTATAACTCGGCCCCTAATTGACCTAGCGCTACCAAACTTGGTATACTTACACATCTTGGGGAGAAGGTGCGCAGCGTACCAAAACCATTATAACTCGGCCCCTAATTGACCTAGCGCTACCAAACTTGGTATACTTACACATCTTGGGGAGAAGGTGCGCAGCGTACCAAAACCAGGTCACTACGACCTTTATTTTACCTTTATTTTGACCTTGATCATATTTCCCTTCCGCTCTATAACTCGGCCCCTGATTGACCTAGCGCGACCAAACTTGGTATACTTACACATCTTGGGGAGAATGTGTGTCGCATACCGAAACCAGGTCACTCCAACCTTTATTTGACATTGACCTTGACCTTAATCTTCATCATATCTCCCTTCCGCTCTATAACTTGACCCCTAATTGACCTAGTGCGAGCAAACTTCGTATACTTACACATCTTGGGGAGAAGGTGTGTCGCGTACCAAAACCCCTAAGGCAACCAATTTTAACATACTTGCACATCTCAGGCAGATGAGTTGTGTAACAAACCTTTGTCTTTGTGACTTATTTAACTTTACCTACCTTCTACGTCCTTACAGAGATATTTCATTCATACTAGATCACGGGGGATACATGTAGTTGGCGACAACTGCCCTTTCTAGTTTGATTTCCACTTATTAGAGCATGTCCTTCTACAGCAAACAGTGCTATTGGGTTCACCCCACCCCATAATGTCTACTGCAGGAGTACCAGGGGTGGCAGGAGAAGGTTGACAGCGAGAGAGGGCTAGCAAGCAGAGAGATGCTCACAGAGATGCAGGCCCAGCAGAGGAAGTATTACGAAGCCCTGCTGAGGAAGCAGGTGTCCGTGCAGGAGGAGGCCAGGCACGAGGCTAGGATCACATGGCCACCACCACCACCACCACCACCACAGGATAGCATGCAGCGGTGTGAAACCATCTCACATACAGGCTCAGTGCACTGTATATTAATACAGTCTAACCCGTATATTAGGGCTTATCATGGAAAACTCCAAAATTGCACTTTGCAGACGGGTGTGCGTTCTATACAAGAGGATCTGCTAACACTGTTTTGATTGGAGAAGGAACATGTCATAGAGCACACAATCGCTCACAATTAGTTACCATGTCATTGTGGTATAAAGGAAAGTGAGATTCCCTCAGTCAGTTTATTTAATCATCAAGACATTATAGGATATAAACTATAACGGGCTCTTGACAATTAATATAGCACACATATACCAACACTAGTGTTCTCTGTGTTGTAATTTCAACACGGACGAGCTTCAGAGTATCGCGATCCTCACACTACTCGTGAGGTATAGTAGATTACTTTGTCACGCAGTATCTTCTTAGTTCTAGCGCGTGGTCTTGGGACGGGACGTGCGTGCCGACCTCCGACGCGAACCGATGCGGCGACTCCGGAAATCCGTTCTTCGTGCCGCAAGCTCGGGTGGCGACCTCTACGTTTTCGAGGATCGACTCGGACTACTCGACACTTTACTCGGGAGACGCTCCCGCTCCGTCTTCCCGGATGCCGACCACGGCCGCACTACACCCGGCACAGCCCGCGGGAATGCTCCGCAGGGATCTCAGCTTCCCGGGAGCCGTGGCGGCCGCTGCCGGCGCGGCGATGTCGCAGGGAGCCAGGATGCCGGTCGCCACGGTGAGGCCGTCGCCGGTAGCAACGGTCGCGCCGCATCCGAAGAGCCCCGAGACGAAGCGAGCGAAGTCGGCCGACCGGTGGGAAGGGGAGCCGGACGACAGCTGGATGTACTATGATCCACCTTGTACGCGATCGAGATCGCGGGAGCAGACACCGGGTGGGTGTCTGCCGTCGTCTGTAGATGGTGTCTGTGTGTGTGCACACGTGCGTGTGTGTGCATGTGTGTGTGTGTGTGTGCGTGTGTGTGCGTGTGTGCGTGCATGTGAGAAATCATGTTTATAGCGGTATTAGAAATAAGTCTGAAAACACATTCAGGCCTGACTTCGAAAATGTTTATTTCTATTATATAACCCTCCATAAAAATTGGCCAGTCCTGCTTGAAAGTTAGCAGTTCTAATCTTGGGAATGGGCTGCTATTTCCAGGATTGTTAATAGACGGTTTAATCGGTTAGGTGCAGTTTTTCACGATTTGTGACGTGTTTATCGTTGTTTTGGTGGTTGAATCTGTTTTGTTTATCGTTGGCAAGAGTAATATAAGAATGATTACCTTTCTCCAGTAATTATTAATCGAGAGAAAATTATCGAATTGGTTTCGTCAGTTACCTACTAGTCTCTTCCACTTTGGAGCATAATTGCTGATCAATGTAACAGTGCCCAATATAAATTGATTGCAGGAAGTAAAGTAAATTCTATCCAGACGCAGGAGACTAACCAAAAGGAGTATGTGGGCGAACTGAAGCCTTCTGCTGGAAGACAATTGAGAAAAATGCCAGAACGTACTGCGAATGCATGGAAGCAATCAACCAACAGTAACAGGTCAAAAACCAAAAGTAAACCAAAGTCAAACACGAAAGACAGAAAGTTCAAGACGCCCGCCAAGAAAGCGAATTTAAACCAACAGGTTGAGAGGGTCCTAAGATCCAACAAACGTAGTAGTTGGGAAATTGGTATGCAAACAGATTATTCTTCCTACCACAGTTTATACTTGTAAATACCATATATCTATATCATTAGCAAAAATTTGCTCATGTATTGTAGCTATGTTATTTATTGGTACCTCACGAACTACATAGTGTGGTTTCAACTTTCCAGTGTTATAATGTTGCAGTGGGTCTGTGCAGTCCATCGATACAAGAAAACACAGACAACCTATTCAGTAGCCCTGGCAACCAATCCATAAGCAGTGACGCATCATCTCCAGGTACTTATATACAATACAGGGTTCTCCCCATGCCTGTGAGCCGGGCTGGGCTGACACGCCTTCATACCTGAAGCTAATTTGCGGCATCCCATAAATCCTGTGACATGCCTTCATTCCCAGCTATGTTTACCTAAACCCAACACAACCATGCTGTGTTTACACAGCTTGATGTACATGTCTCATCTCCTGTGTATTGGTGAGCTTATGACACGCGTGATTTCAATCATGGTCTTCCCCCATCCGTCCATAATCAACACACCCTCAGAAATCCCTGGGGGAATACCCTGCAATATATATATATACTGTTCGTTCTTACTACGAAGATATTTCAGAATGTTACTACTGTCCCTACGTGATCGATAGACCACACGTTCTGCAATTGAAACTCAAAACTGAAGAAATTGTTAGACATTTTTACTGACAGCATTATAAATATGATAATTTGAAGCAACTGTAGAGCCATGGAGATGGGTAACTGTAACAATTGAATTCCCATGCATACAATTCTTCATTTACTACTGTTTTTTCACATATTTATTAAATACAATGTGTTTGCTCACACTAAACTTGCAGGGTTGACTCTCCAGGACATGAGTACAGTAGTCAAGCAGATGAGAAGGCAGAAGATGACTAGAGCTGCATACATGCCAATGATGTCACCAGCTCTGCAAGACCACGACTATGTTAACCTAGGTTAGGTTTAATTCGCAAAGGGAAACGCACACATGGGCACGTAGTGTTCGAGGTTGTCATAAACATGCTGGACTATTCATGTACTCATAAATGTGTATTAGGTTTCGTGTACTTTTGGTTAACACGTGGAATTTAGGGAAATCTGTGTTTTAATTCAAATAGTTGAAAAGTTGGTCAGTAAATTCTGTCAAGAAGGCAAGAGTCAACCTAACCACTTACTCTGTACCGGGGAAAGATCACATACTTATACATTATCTATGATGTTGCATTTGGCAAGTCAATAAACAAGTGCCGCGGAGCGACAGCGCTCATCTAACGTCTACTGCGGTGACTCTGTGGTGGAGTGGTGGGATTCTAGTAAACCCTGTTAGTCCCAAATGTGTGTCACGATATCGCTGAAACAGTGGAAGGCATGCAGGGATGGTTAAGGAACCTTCTCATAGGAATGTTCAGTTGGATAGTTATGGAAAGTTGGCCACGAGATGGCGCATAAGTTTAAGTGTCATTAAGAATTAAAGCACGTCTATAATCTGCCCATCGTACGTAGTAGGCAACTACTATTTCAAGAAGATAGGTAGAGCCTCCATACCCATTTACCCTGACCAAGCCTCACAGGCTGAAATAAGTAGAGTGGCCACTGTACCTAATTAAGCGAAGAGCAAATAACTACACAGTTCTCCCCAAATGCACGTGGCAGATGGGCAATGGAAGTTTAACAATTGTACAGCCGCACAACTGAGGGGCATCCAACCTAAGTGTTCTTCAGTATAGACAGCAAAAACATTCGTCGATGCCATAATCATAGCTACGTTATGGCAAGGGAATCAAAGCGCAGTATCGGTGCCATTTCACGCCGTGTCTTATAAACAGTATTTTGAAAATACCTCCGATGTCGTGTTGACAGTTCCCAAATCTAAGCAACCGGGAGCAGTGCCGCGGTGACAATAAAGGGTAACTGGCGCAGCAAAGATAGAAAAAATGTTACGTCCGTCACCAAACTTCGATGTTATGTTTGTTTTGACAAACAATTTAGGTTGCGCCTGATTACCATTTCGCACCTCTTTCTGTGTTGAAGCGCGCGTCAAATGGAGGAAACTAGAGTTATTTGCCATAGGTAAGTATGATTTATGACATACACGAAAGGTATTTGCTGAGTCTTAGTATAAAAATTAGGGCGTTAGATGCGGATTGTGCGGCTTTAACAACACGTGACGGTAAGATGCCAAGAAATTTATACAATTTAAGGAGCAATATAACGCTTCTTCAACAAAGTTTTAGCTTATGAAATCACTGTATGGACATTGTGAGGCTCAATGACAACGCATGTATAAGATCTAGCAGCAAACCGGCGGTAACAGAGTTCTGTCTGCTAACGTGAAACGAATCCATGTTTAACCTTCATTGAGGTGAAAAGGTTATCCGGAGACTGTAGTTGTCCATTCAGCAGAAAGCACATTTCGAAATGCGTCCGTTCAATATAAGAGCGCATAAAAAATGCTAGGTCACTGACTGAATTTACATATATTAAGGTGGTTTCAATAACTCTGTCAGAGCACCATGTCCTCAGTAAAATGTCTAAAATCTGCCATGTGCCATTGACCTTTGACGGCTGTTAACCTCCAAATCTTTCGGCACAGTGATGGTTTTCCTAGATGATGCATATCATGACTATCACGACTAGTCGAGCGTTTAGATGATTTGTGCGCAATTCGTGAGCATTTCTCCGATATACTTAAGGTTAAAGGAGGGAATCTTCGCCTTACTTTTACAACACTCTTGACCTTTGGACTTTGACCCCCAGCTTCGACATCGCATACTGATGTTTCGGATACCACCCACGTCCGCGAATATCGTGACCGTACGTCGAGCGGATAAGATTTGTGCAACATGTTGACTGGACGGACGGCACCAGGACGGACGTCTCAGGCGATTGCTACAAGCTGCATCTGAGCTATTGGCCCCACTGAGCTAAAAATATAGAAAGCGGGACGAAATTACTACAATCCAAAGTGCCCCTCCTCTATTTGTATATCATTATAAACCTAAATAGAGCAAATGTATTTATATTTACCAACAGAAAGTGGATTTGACAACGATTTCATTGAGTAATTTTCATGTTAATTTGTTTGTTTGTATGGAAAACATGATCAGTTATATAGCGTTTGTTTTGTGTGCGGTACAGATACATCGACCACAGAAGAATTTGGCAAGTCAAAAACACACAACTCCAAAAAGAACGTTGCCAAGGAAATGTTGTCATCATACAGTGATGAATCCCTGTTCAAAACACCTACAGTGCAGGTAATTTCCTTGGTATTTGCATATTATATGTGGATTAGATTTAATTCATGAGAAGGTTAATGTCCCCCCAGGGTATGTAGGTATCGGAGGGTCCCTGGACGATTCGATAATATTCGGCAACTGACGCTGGTAACTATTAATATCCGACCGTATCGCTACTCCACTAACGAGTCTAGGGAGTCGCCTACGTCTACTCCCTAACCCTAACCATATCAGATAGTTACCAGGGTACGTTCCGATATATCGAACCGTACCCAGGGTACCCTCCGATAGTACCCTGGGGGACATAGACCCTATGAGTATTATTATGTGTTGTCATCTTCTATGTATACCATGGACATATCTATACCCTGCAGATGTTCATGTCTATAAATGTCACGTAATGTCTACACAAGGCACGTTCATGACTATGTCTATATATATTCAACTTGTTGTTGCTGTTTATCATACTCAAATAGATGGACCACATTGTTCAAGCACGTGGAAATTTTAACACACTGCATGGGATTTATATTTTGTTAAACTCCTATTCACAGGAAAGTGCACCAAAGCGCAAGACCAGCTCTAGCAAGCGCAAGCAAGCCTTCCGCTTGCTGTGTCAATGAGACTAGTTTCAAATGCGCATGCGGATCCCCAGGAAAATCGCATGGCAAGATATCCATTGAACGTTGTTATGTAAACCAAGTTGCGATTTTCCACCATGTGCGGGGAGGATTCATGCATTCGCTCACGCGTGCACACGTATGTATAGAAAGGAGAGTAAGATAGTTCGGGAGATGGTGAGAATGAGGTGGGAAGATGGTGACCTACTTAAAAACTGAAATATTTATCAATTTAAATTTGTTTCATCCATTTTGATTAGAGATAGATATTGGAGGTTTTATGTTTCTTTTCAGTATTACATTGGCTTGTCTCATGATGGCTTGCCATATTTTCTACCACAGTAATAACTGTATTTTTCCCACACAAGTACGTGCAAAGTACAATTATATGAATGGTTTAACAAATCAGTTACAGTATGTCATAGGAAGTATGTAAAATAATTGCGCTTATCTTTAAGAAGTCACGCTCACATTGCTACTTATTATAAAGTATTCTTATTTATTAGACTTTAAAATTTGTATAAAAATATCACAAACGTTTAAGAAGCGCATTTTCTAGCGAAATGCATGCTAGATATTAAAGCAATACGTGTGGAACAAAGTGTTCTGTACTGTAATAGCTCTTAATGAGAATCATACTTTACCCGCGAACACACACACAAACGTGTGCACAATACATTGATTGTATAACTAATTATCTAAAGCTGTGTATCATAATAATAAACTTATAAAGGATAGATAAAGTCTTCATCTCCTGGTCTGCGTCGTGATCGAGTCAAAACGTAAATTCATACCGTCAACCGATTTAACGTCTTACACACACATTTGCCATGGAGATTACACATGACATACAACCATACCTGCACATGATCTACCACTGCACAGCTTTAGTGCAATTGACTGCTGCCTATAAAGTTGACACTAGCTTATCGGTTTGGCACCGAGGTACTCTAAGTCACTCTCAGTTTGACTTTTACAAGTGCTGCGATTACATCAGGAGTAAGATAATATAGGATTCTATATTATCTTACTCCTGATTACACATGTACACACCTTTTATTTGAAAAAAGTTATGAGCATGCAGTCCTGGTCCTCTCAGTCTTATACACAATATACATTACTACTGCATTGCCATGCCAGTAACATGACTTTTGACATTTACATGGGGATATCACATTGTCTACAACAGGATGTCTTTGTCACACTACTGGCACAAGCATATTGGTTCATCATGTTAAGTGTGTATGTATTATTGAGAAAACTAATTGTAAGCTGCAGCATGTTTTCTCATGTGTATAGTAAAATGATAAACTAAACAGACAAACAAAATAAACACGTGTCATCATTACTATCTCACTAACAGTGTCCTTGACATAATACTTGAGAATAGCATAGCAATTATCAATATTATTGCTATATGATAACCAGCTCATATGCAGAATGTTATAATTAATGAATCTGGCTAAACTATGATGCCAGATTATATAATTACATCGTTAACTATAAGCTGCCAATATCCTTATACTTCTTTAGATTATCTGGAACATTTTCCTTGTACAGGACAGGGTCTGCCCTGAATTCAACAGTTTTTAGAGGCATGCGCCCATATATCTGTGAGAAAAGGTTAATGCACTCGGTTCGTTCAACCATGTGAGCCAGATCTGCTGAGATCTCTACATTGGTGCATTCAGGACACTTGAACTTCTGTCGTGGGGCCACCTAGAGAAAACGTAACCAGTCAATCTTTTAAATCTAAATTTTATACTGATTGAATGGTTGTATTTTTCTCCACAAACTGTACGTTTACAGTTCGTTTAGTGTTGCAGTTTATGTGCTCTTGTTTTTATGAAACGAATGCAGTCTTTCCTTCAAATTACATTATTTTAAATATTAATTTTAATATTTAAAGTTCAGTTTGAATCAGAAGGAAAGGATTAGATGTGTCTTATATTTTAATTTACGGATGATAAATAATTGCTGGGATACTTGAACATGGTTCATAACGAAAACATTTACAAACGTACACAGATCTGACATTTACCTTCATTGTCGGTTTTCCAGTTAAATTGGCTATGAGAAAGTTCATGGCAATGTCTTCACAGTTCATATGATCATCCACCCACTCCTTAATGTTACCAGGCATGGCAGTGGTGTACAGAAAGCTGTAGTACTGAAATTCAGAACAAAGCATTTATAACATTATTAGTAACATGCCAAAATTGCTGATTAACATGTCAAGTCTAGCCTGAGATATTTTACAATGGACAATAGCAGTCATGAGACTACAAAAGGAGATTAGGCTTATGGGGGTGTATGGTTCACAACAATAAGAAATGTCAGTTTTTGTACATGGGTGTTGACTGCTGGTGAGTTACTCAGGTAAGAAGAAAGGAACATAGCACGTGTGTAATATTCAGCAATCGGTGATGTGTTGTCTCAACATGACATTTTCGTTGTTGTTGTCATAAGTTAATTGTATTCTGCGTTTGATTAAAATGGAGACGAATCTTGTATCATGCCATAGTGCTCCAGTCTTATAACAATAACACTCCTTGGTCTTGCAACACACAGCACTACAAACATAGAACAGTATGTTGAAACACTTACAAGCACTTACTTACCTTGTGATAGAAGGCAGCACCAGTCAGTACCATGGATATTTCACTTGTCCACTCTGACTCATATTTCCATTTCTGAGTGTTATTGTCCCACAGATTTAAACGTGATGGGAAGCCTACCAGCCTGTCAGGAAACTCTCTCCATACCTATAGACAAACACAAGTAAGTATTCAATACTGGAATTCAACTGATGCATATTAAAAAGTCTAGTCTGTTGGCTTTTGCTTACAGGAGTTGACACTTTCGTCGCAACATCTGTGTGAAATAAGTCTATGCGAACTTTCGTGGTACTTTCACAGCAACGGCAATAGTAAATAACTTTGGATTAACATTATACATGCATGTTTATAGCCCTATGAAAAAACAAAAATAACAACACCAAGACGCACGCACGCACGCACGCATGCAGCCATGCAGGTGCATACGCACGCACGCACGCATGCAGCCATGCAGGTGCATACGCACGCATGTACGCATACACAGCTTCTCACCTGATATCCAAACTCGAGTTCGTCTGCTGTTAGCATGACGATGTCGTCATCGATTGCCAGTATGGCTTCTGTCTCAATCTCATCGTATGGATAAAACCTGTTGCTCAACTTGTTGGCTCTTGTCTGCACAACCTTTAGCGGTTTATTGATACGAGGCCACATCGAGGCTAAAAGTTCCACAATCAACCAAAAACACATTACAACATCGTGATTTCAGGGGTAGGATTGGGTGCAAATGAAAATATATTGGCTTTCTTTTAAGTATTTTTCAAGTACCATATAGAAGTTAAGTAGGAAATTGAAGCACACTAGAGTGGTAGATAAGAAGTAATGCTTGCAATACTAAAAGTGCAATTCTATATGGCACTAATGGAAAGTTCAGATAATTTTACAGTTAAAATTAATATATTAAATTTAAAGAATTAATTCTGTGATCCACACTATATTAATAATTATGTGGCATCACATTTATGTGGTATCAAGCATCAAAGCGGTTATAAGATTTACTGAATAAAAACATTACCACGAATGTACACACATCAGAATCAATCTTGGAAATACCGAAACAACGTCACAGCGATATTCCACGGACCCCCTCGTCTCGTATAAAAAAAACACATCCCAATTATCCACAAACACTTACTCTGCGGTGGATCCTTATTCTGGTTGTTCCACACGACTAGCACCTTGGAGAGACTCGGCGCGGCCGCAACGCGGTTGATGACCTCAAACAGGCTGTGCACGCGGTCGTAGGTGAGCACGACGGCTGTGAATCCCTGCGCCTTCGGTGCGATGAGCGGGAGGAAGAGTGGAGGCGACAGGTGCGGCTGCAATCGAGCGAACGCGGAAATAGTCTTAAACCCGGTTAAGCCCAACTACTGGCGATTAAAGTGTGCGGGACCCAGCGACAATGCAACGATCTCTCGGCAACATACTGCTGCATTGTTCAGATTGTTCATGATTGTTCAGTGACTCGGCAACAAATATCAAACATGTTTGATATTCCAGCGACGAGTTTCTAGCGTCAAAATCGCCATCTACATGCAGCGCACACGTGGCAATCTCTCGGCGATTCTGTCGCCGGCAAAAAAATCACCAGTACTAGCGATAAAAATCGCCACGTGTGCGCCGGGCTTTAGGTGTGTCGCGTCTGCGCAAGCATCATACATTACGTGACGTGACGCGATGTCGTGTTGACGTGATGCGATATAATATATTGTATGAACGTCATGTAACGCGACGTAACGCAATATAATATGTTCTACGGACGTCCTGTAATGCGATATAATATGTCGTACGGACGTCGTGTAACGCGACGTGATGCAATATAATATGTCGTGTAACGCGACGTGATGCGATATAATATGTTGTACGGACGTCGTGTAACGCGACGTGATGCGATATAATATGTCGTACGAACGTCATGTAACGCGACATGATGCGATATAATATGTTGTACGAACGTCGTGTAACGCGACGTGATGCGATATAATATGTCGTACGAACGTCATGTAGCGCGACGTGACACGATATACTATGTTGTACGAACGTCACATGACTCGACATGACGCGATATATTATGTCGTACGAATGCCATGTGACGCGGCAGCTGATCGCAATGTATTCGTGAACATCGATTTTCGAAAGTCTGTACGTGCGGCACGTGTGCGTGTGATTATGCGTGTGATTGTGCGTGCGTGTGCGTGTGTGAGCACTTGCAGGTGTGTGTCTGCCTGCATGCATGCGTGCGCGTGACATGCACGCGTAGTGACAGCTGAAGAAGCACACGACATAGCCTGTCGTCTACCACTCTACGTTAACTCCGCGAACACGTATAACGCCACTCACCTTATCCGTCGGCGTGTTCCATTCGTCCGACTTCCTGCCGGCGTAGGGAAACACCCTGTCGTTGACGATGCGTAGCGTTGTCTCCGTGATCCTCTTGATGGAGCTGAAGTAGGACTGGTAGAGGAAGCGTAGCTGGCGGCGCATGCTGACCACCCGTGTCTCCGAGATCGCGTGCAGAACCTCCATCAGCTCACTCAACTCCGACTCGTACAGCGTCAGCGCCGCCCTGGTGAGAGTAACGCGCAATGCGCCAGCATTACGTCGAGCGTAAGCGCCGGAACGCAATACGTGGATTTTATGTACATGTTCCCTGTAGTTTCGCATATCATGTACTGGTGTCTACAGCAAAAACTGATAACTTCACGAAAATGTATATGCAAATTTAGTTGTACATTTAAATAACGAATTTATTAAAATTATTGATTTATTATTAAATAACCAAAGTCTAACTAGGGTTTTGTCAAGTATCACTTCTATGTAACATAAAGAAAACAGGTGATTATATTCCGAAAATTACTCAACGAGGCATTGATGTTTTGTAAAGAACTTTACCTCTTCCAGTCCAGTACTTCTGAGAAAGGAAGTACATATGTATCTGCCACAATGACAGGAATGCAGCCTGATTTCATAGCATCCACAAGGGCAGCTTGGCCCAACCTCGCACCACGCAGTACCACACAGAATGTAGACTCCTGCATTAAATACAAACATTAACAAACTTAATTCTGGACCCTGGAAAAGTTTAACAAGATAAACTACCTAAGGTGTGAGCAATCATGAACGTACAAAATAGTTCAAAACATTTTTAATAACAAGTTCAAGTATTATACATCCACCTCATTCTTGTTCAAAATAAACAACATAAACATTCAAATGGCATAACGTGCACATAAGGCAAGTAATAATGAAGTTTACGATATGTACAATACATACAGTACAGTGTTCAATTGTGGAGACTCACGACAAATACTTCAGCAGTGATTCGTTGTACGTACTTGTAATATCTGTGGATAGTCGAACACGTGGTCACCCTGGCAGCGCTGGGAATAGTTGAAAGATCCGGACGTGCTGCTGCAGCGATCCAACACGAGCATGTCCGGATATTCCTCGGCAAGCGTAGACAGCTCCTGTCTGTACTCAGAGTGGATGAGCACCTGAGAGGCAACGGCTAGCCACATTTTCTGCTCACTGCAGTGTAGAACGGGGACCGGTAAATCCACTCGTACACGCATCTACCCAACTCAACCGTCCTATTCTCAGTGATGAGTAGAGAAAATCGTAGGTGAGAGAAAGAGAGAGAGAAAGAGAGGAAGCAAGGAAGAGAGGAAGAGAAAGAGAGAGAGAGAGAGAGAGAGAGAGAGAGAGAGAGAGAGAGAGAGAGAGAGAGAGAGAGAGAGAGAGAGAGAGAGAGA